GTCAGATGTTGCCATCATTGGCGGACGGACTGCAGTAGCACCCTCTTCAAGTAGTACACCTCTGGTATAATTCCAATTGGCGGGACGTAAAAACCGCTCTGGCATCCAAAGACATTCTCTACCGAGATAATATGCCAATAAAAATCCTAAGGATTCGGACCAAGCCTTGGAACCGAAGACTGAAGCTAGGCCAGCGTTTTCGGTACGGCACATATGCGTCTATTAGCGCAGTGCACCTCATGCACGAGTCCGGATCAGGCGATTCACACTTATGGAAATTAAACACATCGTGCTGACAATGACGGTGGAACTGCGAGACTTCGGTCCGATGAATAAGACTGATGCATTGCCGTGAGATGCTGCCATCATGTGCGGACAGGCTGTAGTAGCACCCTCTTAAAGTAGTACACCTCTTGTATAATTCCGATTGGCGAGACCTAAAAACCACTCTGAAAGGCAAAGACACACCCCGCCGAGATAACATCCCGACACGAACCCTGAGGAACAAAGCCAAGCCCCGGGAACCGAGGACCGAAACAAAGGCAACGGTTTAGGTACGGTACATATACGTTTAGTCGTGCGGTGCACCTGAAACAAGAGTCCTTACAACGCGATTCACACTAAGTAGAAATAAACACATTGTGCCGACAATGTCGGCTGAGCTGCAATGGTTTGATTCAATGAATAAGACTCATGCACTGTCGTGGGATGCCACCATCATGTGCGGACAGACTGTAGTAGCACCTTCTTAAAGTAGTGCGCCTCTTGCATAATTCGTTGGCGAGACCTAAGAACGGCTTCGTCATCCAAAGACACACTGTGCCGAAATAACGTGTCAACAGCAATTCTAAGAGAACGGACCAAGCCCCGGAAACCGAAGACCGAAGCGAGGCCAACGTTTTCGGTACGGTACATATATATTTATAAGCGCAGCGTACCTTATACCATCGTCAGCAAGATGTGTTTAGTCCTAATAAGTGTGAATCGCATGATCCGGACTCGTGTGTGAGGTGCACTACGCTAACAGACGTATATGCACCGTACCGAAAACGCTGGCCCTGCTTCAGTCTTCGTTTCCCGGGGCTTGGTCCGTTTGCTTAGCGTGGCTGTTGGCATATTATCTCGGCAGAGTACGTCTTTGGATGTCAGAGTGGTTTCTAGGTCTCGCCAATTGGAATTATACAAGAGGTGTACTACTTGAAGAGGGTGCTACTGCAGTCCGTCCGCCAATGATGGCAACGTCTGACGGCAATGCATGAGTCTTATTCATCGGACCGAAGTCTTGCATATCCACCGACATCATCAGCAAGATGTGTTTGGTCCTAATAAGTGTGAATCGCATGATCCGGACTCGTGTATGAGGTGCACTACGCTAACAGACGTATATGTACCGTACCGAAAACGCTGGCCTTGCTTCAGTCTTCGTTTCCCGGGGCTTGGTCCGTTTTCTTAGGGTGGCTGTTGGCATATCATCTCGGCAGAGTATGTCTCTGGATGTCAGAGCGATTTCGGGCCTTGCTCACTGGAATTGTACAAGAGGTGCACTAATTTAAGAGGGTGCTACGACAGTCCCTCTGCACGACATGATGGCGGCATCTCACGGCAATGCATGAGTCTTATTCATCGGACCGACGTCTTGCATTTCCATCGACATTGTCAGCACGTGTTTAGTTCTAATAAGTGTGAATCGCATTGTCCGGACTCGTGTGTGAGGTGCACTACGCCAACAGACGTATATGTACCATACCAAAAACGCTGGCCTTGCTTCAGCCTTCGTTTCCCTGGGCTTGGTCCGTTTCCTTAGGGTGGCTGTTGGCATATTATCTCGGCAGAGTATGTCTTTGGATGTCAGAGCGGTTTCTAGGTCTCGCCAATTGGAATTATACGAGAGGTGTACTACTTGAAGAGTGTGCTACTGCGGTCCGTTCGCCAATGACGGCAAAATCTGACGATAATGCATGAGTCTTATTCATCGGACCAAAGTCTTTCATATCCACCGACATCGTCAGCAAGATGTGTTTAGTCCTAATAAGTGTGAATCGCATGATCCGGACTCGCGTGAGGTGCACTACGCTAACAGACGTATATGTACCGTGCCGAAAACGCTGGCCTTGCTTCAGTCTTCGTTTCCCGGGGCTTGGTCCGTTTGCTTAGCGTGGCTGTTGGCATATTATCTCGGCAGAGAACGTCTTTGGATGTCAGAGTGGTTTTTAGGTCTCGCCAATTGGAATTATACAAGAGGTGTACTACTTGAAGAGGGTGCTACTGCAGTCCGTCCGCCAATGATGGCAACATCTGACGGCAATGCATGAGTCTTATTCATCGGACCGTGGTCTGGCATATCCACCGACATCGTCAGCAAGATGTGTTTGGTCCTAATAAGTGTGAATCGCATGATCCGGACTCGTGTATAAGGTGCACTACGCTAATAGACGTATATGTACCGTACCGAAAACGCTGGCCTTGCTTCAGTCCTCATTTCCCAGGGCGTGATCCGTTTCCGTAGGGTGGCTGTTGGCATAATATCTCGGCGGAGTATGTCTCTTGATGTCAGAGCGATTTCAAGCCTTGCTCGTTGGAATTGTGCAAGAGGTGCACTACTTTAAGAGGGTGCTACGACAGTCCCTCTGCACGACATGATTGCAGCATCTCACGGCAATGCATGAGTCTTATTCATCGGACCGAAGTCTTGCAGTTCCATCGACATTGTCAGCACGACGTGTTCAGTTCTAAAGGTGTGAATTGCATTATCCGGACTCGTGTGTGAGGTGCACTACGCTAACAGACGTATATGTACCGTACCGAAAGCGCTGGCCTTGCTTCAGTCTTCGTTTCCCGAGGCTTGATCCGTTTCCTTAGGGTGGCTGTTGGCATATGATCTCGGCAGAGTATGTCTCTAGATGTCAGAGCGATTTCAAGCCTTGCTCGTTGGAATTGTACAGGAGGTGCACTACTTTAAGAGGGTACTACGACAGTCCCTCTGCACATGATTGCAGCATGTCACGGCAACGGAGTAGTCATATTAATTGAACCCAAGTGTTGTAGTTTAAGCGACAATGTCGTCACGATGTGTTTGGTCCTAATAAGTGTGAATCACATTATCCGGACTCGTGTATGAGATGCACTGCGCTAATAGACGTCAATGTACCGCACCGAAAACGTTGGCTTGGCTTCGGTGTTTGGTTCCCGTGGCTTGGTCCGTTTTTTAAGAATGCCGGAAATGCTTCATTTCCGCCGACATTGTTGGGTTTTTCTCTGTGCTGTCTGTTTGGAAACATCAACTCGAGACACGAATGTGAAGAACTGGGATAATTTTCTTGATTGCTCGAATGTACGTAATTTGGTGCTTATGTTGCCCTTTTAGTACATGCTATAAATCGTCGGCTGTCTGCGTGTTAAAAATCATATGACCTGTTTGTGGCCGAAATTATTATATTATCAGATGGTTATTTCTTAAAGATGATAGGCAATCATGCGAGCATTGTGAGTAGCAGTGGTCGAAACGACGTAGTGAATGGTGTTAATTGCCTGCTCATTACTTTTGGTGCTAAAGATGTCGTTTGGATTGTATGATTTCAAAGTCGGGCAATCCTGCTAACGCGAGCTGGTTGAGCCCGTGCCGCACTGCGCGTAAAACGCTCGCGGTGGAGATTTTTCTTCTTCTAAAAAAGGTGAAGTACTTGAAGAAAACCCTGATTTTGCTGTGATCATGCCTCATAAGCATCATTTGGGTACTCTTGTACAGTTATTTACAGCTGCTACTGAGAATGCAATATAATTGATACATAGGATGCCACACTGCCCCAAGTGCAGCACTCTCCTGGTGACTTTGAGATAATGCTGAGAAAGCTCCCCACATCTTGTTCATGTGCTTCAAACAGCATAGGGGAGGAGGACATTAAATTTATGCCCCATGCCTGTTAAAAATCAGTGTTTGTTATAATTTTTGTAAGATGGTGTGGAATACACTAAAAATTGCTCACTATTAACACAATTAACCCAATTCACCCTAGTTGTCTGGCATTATGTGACAAACATAAAAAGCAATAAATACAGTCCAACAAAGCAACTAAGTGCCACAAAAATATGACCAAATACCTGACACAAGAAGGAAAAATAAATCTAGATCTATTTTGATAGGATGAAGTAAGACAGACAGACCTAGACATTGAACTTGGGGTAAGGCATGTTGAGGAAAGGTATTGTCCGGTGTTTTTGTGAACCTCAATGACAGAAAAACGAAATGATAGAATAAGATGACACATTGTATAAAAAATTACATAGTATCCCGTGCATGGCCAGACGCAAGCACATAGTTCCGAGCCGTAATTGTAAGATGAGGTTGTGCTGGCGGCCCAACATGTAATGCAAGGTCCTCGGCGCTTGCAAACTGTTCATTTGAAATTATGGCTGAAAACCACCTACCTCATTCGGCGCAATTTAGAGTGGCTTATTGCGCAGACCAACCACCTAATAGACCACTCAAACCAGGCCACATTGCTGCCAACACATGACAGAAATCATAAACGCCAAGAATGCTAAGTAACATCTAACATTGTCTCTTATGCGCCAGTTGTAAGCAGACGAATGAGGCAAATAAAGTTGATGACGTCATTTCGTTCCCATACTATTTCTCCTAACATCTGCCCCAAATAGAATCATTTGAAACGATGTGAAATTTGTGCTTCATTTTGTTTTACTTAACCGACTCGATTTTAGCTGTCAGCAGCTTGTAATGTATAGCAACCGAATATAGATCACAATTTGTCCGTCCAGTACGACGAAAAATGACGTAATTGTATAATACCGCCTTTTGTTCAACTCCATGCCACCTTTTCGGCCTTGGTTGTGGCATCTTCGTCTGAAAATCAACTCATTCAACTCCAAAAAGTATTTATTCACCGCTCACATGCACTTTTTTTAACAAGCCGGGAAAGAGCCATGAACAAAAACGCTATTGTGCCTTTGTCAGCTGTTGACATTCTGCGCATGCGCACATTGCACACCATGTTGCGTTAGGCATTGCTTTGGACTGGGGCATTGCGGGAGGGACGTAGTGGGTCAGCCTGGGACGGCTCTGTCCATTTGATTTCAAGTGGGGCTCAAAACGGCGAGAGGTTAATTACTGTTGTGTTTCATTGCACGCAGCGGATGGAAGACTGTCTTTCATCCCATTAAATCCAAAGGCAGGAGGTGTGTTGTGCCCCAGTTGCGAAAAGCGCCGTCCCAAGTCTTCTCAGAGGTAAATTACATCTTATTGCATTCTTTGTATGTTCAAGTGGCTCACCTTAGAGGAGAAAATGCCTTCTGGCACAAAGCCATGAGAATGGATGGGAACTTGTTATGGCTGTGGCGGGGCGGAAGGTCTGTCTGGTGCATAGATATCACATTTTGTGTTGTGTTGTGCTGTGTGCTAAAATTGCTCATTCTGGTTGTTTAAGGCTGCACCTTATTGATATTCTTGCACTGGTAAAGATTAATATTTATGAGCATCCTCACTTTGTACTGAAAATATGTTGTATAACAAGATCATGAATAAGTGAATTACTTAACATGAGCCAGTCTGCTAATAAGATAATCCACTGTATCAGATGCCCATATGACATGGTGTGCTCAATCCATGTTCACCTATGCTGAAGTCAGACCAGGCCAAACTGTCCTGAATTTTCCATGCATGATGCTTTGTTTTGAGGCTGTGTGACTGAAATTGCCTTTGCAACATCATAACTCATTGAGGCATTATCTCTATGCCCCAAAATTGGATTATGGATGTAAAATGCATCAGTTGTTATTTCTTTCCTACTTTCCCTCTGTTGGTTTGATGTGAGATATTGTCTTCCATGGTTTGTCATTTGCTGTTGATAATGTCATAAGAATGTGTTACCATGATCTGCAAGTTGTTTCTTTCGTACCTAGGATTTGGGATAGGAATAGGGTGTAGAGTAAGTTGAGTTAATTCAGTCACAAGCATGGCTAGAGTGGGAGGGTGGTATTAGGGTAAAGTTTCAATCAGTTTTGAGATGATAATCATCTATGAACAGAGTCACCATTGACAATGTGATGTCTTGCAGGTACAAGAGCTTTTTCCTGATTGTTAAATGGCATCTTCAAGTGGGTAAGTACCTAGAGTACATGCTAGCAGTTTCCCCTGTGGCTCATTGAATCAGATCAACATGCTGTACATAAAGTCACTGCCCATTGCCATTTATTTACTTGTAATGTGTTGTCTGATACCCTGTGCCTGTTGCCTGTGCAACTATTTTTCTTGTGTACCTGTAATGCTATTTTAAGTAACAATGTATTTGGACTTTTGAGTTCCAGGATGAAACATGTAGGCCATTAGGATACCAGGATATGCTGGTTAAAGGAAGATGTCCAGTAATCATTGAAGTATGTTATTAAATTCTCCAAATTGTAGTTGAAGCCTAACCAGAAGGGAAATATATCTCACAAATTTTGGAAGTAATGCAGCATTTTGTCATCCCTTTAATGATTGCCTCACATGTTCTTGTAACAGCATTTTAGAGTATGAAAAACATCAGTTCTTTTATTTTTCTAGCTCCTTATAATGGATATATTGTTGGGAGGTCACATCCTTTTGACAAAGCACTGCATGCACCACCACCCATTAGCTGATTAGTGACTGTGATGTGTGGCCTACCGCGGTGGCTAACGGTGCGCGCGGGTGTTCGACAGGCGGAAGGTGAAGCAGATCGGGTGCCCGGCGCACCCGGAGGCCCATCTGATCGAGGACTACCGCGCTGGCGACCAGATCTGCTCCGAGTGTGGCCTCGTCGTCGGCGACAGGTGACCGGGCTGCGGCCGCGAGCCGCCTCGCACCGGCCCTGGTGGGCGCAGGCGGGCGGCCCGCTAGCACACGGGCAGGCCCAGACACCTGGGACAGGTCCCCTGCCTGCCAGTGTGCGGGCGGCCGGAACGCCAGGAATGGGTCCCCAGTCCGCCCTCGTTTACGGATTGGGGCGCTGAACTTTAGAGTGTTTTTGGCTGCTGACTTGTTTTGTCATGCATGTCTCAGTGTGTGGTGCGGTAGGCTTGACCTCGTGATTGCTGGATGGTCACCTATTCAGCTTGGTATTGTGCTAGCATTAAGATTCACCAGCATATGATTCATATGATTCATAGTGGACTCGTCGCGCATTTTGTGCTGTTTGCAGGACCCTCCCAGATGAACAGTGCAGGGGTATATGCGCAGGTGCAGAATAGATGCGGGGAAAAACGGGGATGATTGGGACGTGTCCACAGCCGTGATTGTGCTGTATGTCCAAGAAGCGAGCACTGGTCATGAACGCATGGTCGTCACCGATGACGTCATCGGCAGGGTCATTGACGTGGGCTCAGAATGGCGCACGTTCAGCAACGACAAGAACGCGGCCGACCCGTCGCGTGTGGGCGGCACCGAAAACAAGCTGCTGGGCAGCTCTGACCTCAGCACCGTGATCGGAGACGCCCGCGGCGCCGCCTCCTTCACCGCCGACGGCCAGTCCAAGTACCAGAACCGGCGCCAGGTCAGTGCAGCCCGCAGAACCGCCGGCAGCGAGCTCTGCAAATGCCGGGGAAATCCGTGAGTCAGTCTAGATACCGCAGCTGGTGGTGGGTCGGTCCAAGCGACAGAACCGGCAGTTAGTTCTGGTCACAGAATCAGTTCAGGTCACTGAGCCAGGTCAGTTCAGGTGCAGGGGCCGGCCGCAGCTCAGTTCAGCTTGTGGCATCAGTGATATGTCAGAGGGGCCAGAGCTGGCCGTAGGTTATTTTGGTTCAACGCACTGAGGTTTACGTTTTGACTCGTAGGGTATCGAGTTATCTACGACAGATGACTGATCCGTGTGCCCGAAATGGTGCTGGAATTTGTTTATGAGTGATCTTTGTATGCCAGAAATGGTGCTGGAATAAGTTTGTGACTGATCCGAGTATGCCGGAAAGGTTGGTGGCATTAGTGCTGTCAAGTAGCGCGGGAAATAGCAAATTTCGATAATGACAGATCCGTCTGTAATACCTAATACTGCGCGAGGCTTCACTCATTGTATAAGGTGTTGACAGCTTCTGTTGGTTACCCAGCTGATTTCCTAATGCCGTATCTGCCGAATATCAGGCGCATCACCTTTGCAAATGAAAGAAAGAGCTTGTCATTCAGTTTGCCACCAATCCCATCAAACGTGCCGACGCCCGGAGTGAGCGGCTCGGCAAATGCTATCGCGGTGCGCGCCAGTAGCCAGCCCTGCCGACGGCACGTTGACCGGTGGCGGCGCCGAGCTCGCCTTGACTCGCCGCCCATCCTGCCGTGGTCAGATGAGCAGCTCGGACCGGGCGCTGACGAACGCCTTCCGCGAGATCGCGCTGATGGCCGATCGGATCAGCCTGCCGCGCACCATCGTCGACCGCTCCAACAACCTGTTCAAGCAGGTGCACGACGGCCGTAACCTCAAGGGGCGCGCCAACGACGCCATCGCCTCGGCCTGCCTCTACATCTCGTGCCGGCAGGAGGGCGTGCCGCGCACGTTCAAGGTCAGCGCGCGGCGTCGGTGAGGGAGTCGGCGGCCGCTGGAGGGAACAGCGGCCCTGGAGCGGCGGTGCCCGGCTGCCGGTGTGGGCGGGCTGGCGTCTTGTGTGTCGGGGACCCGCCGCTATGGCGCAGGTGGTGTGGGCGTCATTCGTCAGGCTGTGCGAATCAGGCTTGAGATGGCGACGGTTTCTTGCATATTGACCCGTCTTGCTTCACCAGGCGCGCTTAGATCAGGCCTCTGCTGGTGATGACTCGCCGCGGCTGGAGTCGTGCTTCTTCAGCCACGGGGCGTGGCCCGTCTTTCGATGTTGCTATGGACGGCTGACCTGGTCGGCTGTCTTTCAGGAGATCTGTGCTGTCAGCAAGATTAGCAAGAAGGAGATCGGCCGCTGTTTCAAGCTGATCCTGAAGGCGCTCGACACGAACGTCGAGATGATCACCACCGGCGACTTCATGTCTCGCTTCTGCGCCAACTTGCGTGAGTCGTCCGGCCGATGTGGAGGACATGCTGGATAGCTTTCGGCGGCATGGGTCTTCGTGCGGCGCTACGCTCCGTAGAGATACGTCTGACGGCTGGGCACGGCCATTGTTGCGGGGCATGTGGCAGTGAGGTCCGTGGCTGCAATTTGAGTGTAAAATAACGCTTTTTCTGACCTCATACCAGGCAGATATGAGGGTGGTTTGGGATTTAAGGGCGCGGCGGCGTTAGGCCATCTTGCGCCCACCCCATGGACAGATGCTACGTTTCCTGACCAAATGAGATGCTAATCCAGGATCAGCGCCAAGGTGCGGTCTTACATCACCCTTTGGTCGCTGGAATCTATCGAAGAAAACGATTTATAGGTACTTCTGGTAGCATAGGCGCAGGTTTTCAGCCAGCAGCGTATGTAAACTCGTACACGCTGATCTGACTGAAGTATGGAGTCAGGCCGTCCATGTGCTGGGCATGCTCTTAAAACGCTGTTCGAAAAAAGGAACACAGTAATGGTTCTCCAAGTTTTGACTGATCGTTCGGTGCAGTCTGATCTATCTGCAGGCCTATTTGGTCAAGTTTAGTACGGCCGTCATCCCGTCTTCATTGTGACTTCCCCGTTCGTGTTCTGTTGATATGCGTTGTCAATTTGTGTCTAGAAGAATGCCACTCGGGGGGGGGGGGGGGGGGGCATGTGGGCAGCTTCCCTCGGCCATCTACTCCGCCCGCCTCCACGATGGTATGCCTGCCCTCGGTCCAGGCCCCCGCACCCGGCTGGCGTCCGCCCGTGTCGTGTTGGGTGACTCGGTCCCCGGCTCCCCCCGCGGGCCTACCGTGGTCGCCGCCGCCGGTCGGCCAGGATGATACCGTCCGCTGTCCGGTCCTCCGCGCACGTCTCCCCGCCGGCGCGCCTGTCTGATGTCCAGCCGCCTGGCTGGCGGCCATGTCCAGCCTCCCGACGGCCGTGTCCAGCTGCCTGATGCCTGTGTCCAGCTGCCTGACGCCCTGGACGGCCGTGTTCAGCCGCTTGACGGTCATGTCCAGCAGCTGGACGGCCGTATCGAGCTGCCTGACGGCCATGTCCAGCCACCTGACGGTCATGTCCAGCCGCCTGACGACCGTGTCCAGCCGTCTGACGGCCGTGTCTAGCTGCCGAACAGCCGTGTCCCGCCGCCTGACGGCCATGTCCAGCCGCCTGACGGCCGTGTCCAGCCGCTTGACGGCCGTGTCCGCGCCACCCGGCCGTGCGTGACGGCCGTTCCGCTGCGGACAGGCCTACCAAACTCGGTGCAGCGCGCGGCCACGTACATCGCGCGGCGGGCGGCCAAGGAGCTCGACATCGTGCCCGGACGGTCTCCCATCTCGGTGGCTGCCGCTGCCATCTACATGGCCTCTCAGGTACCGGCAGCGGGCGGGCGCGGTCGTGTCTTGGGCCGCGACCGTGCCGGGGAGGGGAGGGGTCTGGCGGGTACCAACCAACCAACCAACTACCAACGGGTACAACGGGCTGGCGGGTACCAACCAACTGAGCTATCCGGACAGGCATCTGAAGCCAGATCTCCAATTTACTGCCATTTAAAAGCTCATACATCTCTTCCGCTGCGAGTGCATTTTCTCTCGCAGCGAGTACACGGTTTGTGCAAATCGATGTGTAGGAGAGCCTGACTTTATGGAACATAACTGCCTGACGTTGTTGCCAGAGCACTATCGCTAACCAGTGCATCGGCCAGGGAGGTCTGACTCACCAAAACTGAAGTCACCGCGAAACGACATTGCACGAATTTGCAAACCTGTCCAGAACCACGCACCACCAATCACTGATCAATGCCTGGCACCGTCCGTGATGTTCGTCACTGATCAATGCTCGGCGCGGTCCCTGATAATCTATCGTCACTGATCAGTTCTCGACACACTCCATGCTAATCAGCATCATTGATCAATGCTCGGTACAGTCCATGTCGACCATCACCACGGACTGTGCCGAGCATTGCAGCATGTTGTGGTTTTCGTCGCGATATCCTATCGACCGAGAATTTCGCAATCGGATGGCTGGGTCGGGGTTCGTGCAACACGCGATGCTTAGCGTGGGTGTTGATACCAGGAAGCTGGCAACTGGAACGTTTTGGGGTGAATCTTGTCAGCAGGAAATGAGGCTAAGGTGGCTCACATATTTGACGCTTCACATTATGCGTCATACTTCCAGCGGAATTCAAAGTTCTCAAATGCTGTAAGTCTGTACCGTGTCGTCCACCGACGTGTGTTTGCCGTATTTGGGAAGGGGACGGCTTACATCCGGTTTACGTGTTGCGGGAGCTGCATACGATGCGGTGTTTTCCTGAACGCCTCCGCACACGTGGGCGGCGAGCGGCGGTGCTGCGGGCCGACCATGCTCTGACCGGCTTCCGCAGGCGTCAGAGGACAAGAAGACGCAGAAGGAGATTGGCGACATCGCCGGCGTGGCCGACGTCACCATCCGCCAGTCGTACAAGCTGATGCTGCCGCGCGCCGCCGAGCTCTTCCCGCCCGATTTCAAGTTCCACACGCCGATCGAGGAGCTGCCGCAGCTGTAGGCTCTGGGCCGAGCTCTCAGCACCGGCCGCGGCCGGGGGCGGCTCCGCGGGCCTCGCCAGCGGCCGTGGGCGGCTCCGCCGGCCCCGCCAGCGGCCGGGGGCGGCTCCGCGAGCCCCGCCAGCGGCCGGCGCGCCCACCGCACCCGGCCGGAGACGCCGCAGATGGCGACTCCGGGTCCGCGTGCGCCCCGTCTCGGTCCGCGGGAAGTGCGCGGTGCGGCGCGGCGTTCGCCCTGCGGGACGCAGCGGGCCAGTGGCGACAGCGTCAAGAGCACGCTGCGGTGCGGGACCGGCGCCGTCGGCCGCCGTATCGTACCCGGCAGGCGTGTCGTGCTGCGTACGCTATTGCCCAGCGCAGACGAAGGGTCGGCACCTGGGTCCCGTCTGCGGAGGCTGGGCTCCGCTAGCGACTCCGGCCGTCGCGCCGCCGGCGGCGGAGCGCCGGGCGACCCGCGGGCCGGTGTCTGTGGTGCCGGCGCGGCCTGTGATGCCGTCGAGGTGCGTGGCGAGGGCGATGGACATCATATAGGAAAATGAAGACATCGGGCTGGCCGTGGGCGGATTGGGCGCGTGTGTTCTCTCAGCGAGGGTGGATGCCAGGACCTGAAGCAGGTGAACTGTCGGTCAGCTGCGCACTCCGGCGGCGTGTGCGGCGTGTAGCTGCCTGCCGGTAGTGCGGCGACGCACGGGGTTTCTCCGTGGAGTGACGCCCTGTTCTGGCTGGCGCACTCTCGAGCATTGAGTCGAACAACCCCCGTATCAGTGAAGGTTAGTGCATGGCACCCGCCAGGAGCGGTGTTCGGGGTGACCCGCAGTCGCTAACGCCAGGAATGAGCTGAGGGAGTCATCGGACGTTGTGTGGCTCGCCTGGTTGAAGCATGAATCGTCAGTAGTGGTACAAAATGCTTGTTTGAAGGGTAATGGTTCGTGGGTCCACTGAGCGTTTTCGCTGTTTCCAATGGCGACTGCCACGCTTGTTCTTCATTGGTGAACTTTGCAACGTTCATTGTGAAATGCCTGGTTGATTGTACTGTTTGGTGAACCATGTGTCGCAAGCTTCCTGTCGGGAGTGTTGGAAACTGCTATGCATTCGTCGTATTTTTGTCCTGAACTTGGATTATTATTCTTGGGTGTTGTGTGGACATATGTCTAGGAAGTGGAATGTGCTTGTTCAAGCATACCAATGGCCATTATAAGTAATTCAGCTTTGCAATTAATTCCCGACGCGCGTGGTGTTGACTTTTGTCCCGTTGTCCAGATGACCCTTTTCCAATAATTTTGGGCTGCGTGTGAATAGATCTCTGTTTTTCTGCAAAACCGCACTTGGCTGCATTGTTCAGCAAGCAATGCTGGAATGCAAATACATGAGTAGACCAACCCATTGTGGTGTGTTTGTGTTGATGGTGCCGGGGTCCAGGGTGCAGCCCCTGAGGTTCCTCTTGTGGGGCATGCACTCGAAGTTATGTTCGTCAGGTGGACGGGCTTTGTGTTCCCCCGTTTAAAACGCGGGTTGAGGCCGTGGCTTACCTAGATCAATATTTGTCCGTATAGACATGAGGGGCGTGTCTGCAACCATGCGTGATGCATCTTTTGTCTCGCCGTACGGCGCGTGGTGCGCACGCCGCACATGAGACTAGGATACCAGCGAAAAGCACTGGATGAATTTGTGGCTGAGGGGCATATGCCAAGCTAAAAATGTCTGTATCCGAACTGTTTGTGAATGAATGTAGCCATGTGTTAATCCGACGGGGGGGGGGGGGGGGGCAGCCGCACCGCGGCCCCTCCCCCAGGATGGCCCTAGTTGGGTAAAACATGACGCATTTCCGAACTTTGAAGAAACTGCATGCAACTTTCGCAGAGATGAGGTTGTTTTAGAATGGGAACTGGGACCCAATGGGTTTGTTTTTCAAAAGCAGGACACCTGTTGGATTTTGCTCTCACAAGGCGGCCTTCTGGATCCGCCCTTGCATGTGTCTTCATTATGAAGATGGCATATAAGGTCATGTGGGGTGGTATGATATTTTGCTATGCTCCGGTGACTTACGAAGACATCATTGATTTAAGGGTTTGGAGGCAAGGCGTCCATTCATGGCTTTCGTAGGCTAACAAAACACATTCCTCTGAGTAAAGAAAGCGGCGAATTGTTCACTGCAACATACTATTTTTGGCAAATTTGCCACCAGCGTCATCAGACTTGTGGGGTAAAAGCGTGCGAACTCAGAAAAAGAAGCCGACCTATGCCAATTTTACCTTGATTTGAATCTAAAGTACCTGGATTTGATGGATTTCATTTTTAGGTTCGGGCGGGAAGGCTGTAACTTTGCCCATTGTACCTGCTTGGGCGACCCCTTATCCGTCTTACAGAGGCCCTCTTATCCCTAATCCGTCGCCGACCGTCCTGTTTCCGTCTTGTTTCACCCTTGAGGCCGGCCGTGGTCCGTGGTCTGCCTATCGCACGTTATTTTCTTGACGTCATAGAAGTCTGGCAGGCTGGACTACCATGTTACAGCTAAGGCGATATCACAACCATCATTTAAAGGCAAACATCGCACCTTGAACCGTGCGCTCACATCCGAGGCGGTTTCGGCGGTAAACACCGGCAACGGGGGTTGGCTGCGAGCTGGTTCGGCGATTTCGCTTGGGGTTCGAAAGCAGGTGGGTGACTATGAAGTGATTGTTTAGGTACGTGCTTTGATATACTTCTGCATTGTATGGTTGAAATCTGTTAACTAAAGTGGCGTTGTTCAGGGCCAGTCGCATCGGAAGCTCTCAAAGTTCTTAGTGCAATAGATAATTAACACGCTATACTGAACATGTCGGGCTTAGCAGCGACGTGGCAATAATTTCAGCGTACGTAGGATGAAATGTGAGACTTCAGAATTAAGTGTTCGGTCAGCACGAATTTCAGTACATAGACTCAGATAATTGTGACGTTCTAAGGTACCTTTTGGCAAATATACTTCAAACACATTTTTGTCTAGAATTTTGTGAAAACTCAGCACACTGCCCTGGCAGCATGTGCATTGTGCCTGGCATTGTGCCTGTCATGTGTGCATTGATGTGTGCTGCATTGGGTACAGGTCAGTACAAGGCTCAGCACATCAGTGTTGCATAATGATTTTTCACTGTGAATGGATCTGTTGCAGATTGGTTCTAGGTTTGTGGGCTGATAGTCATATTTGGTCATTTCCTTTGAGTTAGTGCATACAGGGCCAATTAAAATTTTCAAGAGACTGAGGCACTCCAGGATTGGTCAGTGTCCAGTTAGCAGGAAAGCCATCCACTGTCGGTGAACTGAACCCCTGGCTTATAGATGCTGGGCTGGCCAAATTTGGCAGAATTTTTGTGTGCTGAAATCAGGCCAGGCATGTGCATGAGCACGCAAGTCTTAAATGACTGAATCCAAAGAAGGCATAACAAAAAGTATTAATTTTCTGCTGCTTTCAACATGTTGTATGTAATTTGTCTGCAGAGATGGGTGGTGACAGCTTACCTGAAGGCTGGGAAAAGAAGACGAGCAGGTCAAATGGTAAGCTTATAGAATGAGGCAAGTTTGCTGGGCGTGAATGGACTTTTAGGGTGAAGGTTTCAGATTGGCAGGATAAGAATTCATGCGCAAGGAGGTAATATCCCCCTATAATGTCAAAAGCTGTGACTACTGTAATGTTTTCTCTGTAGTGATGATTTTTCCTGTTATATGGTTGTGAATATATACTTGCATGTTTGTGTTGGCAGTGCACTGCTAACACAGTACAGCTTTTAGAATTTCACAACATTGCAGTTGGTTGTGAAACAGTAAACTGTATAATCTTGCATTCAAAATGCAATAATTCTAGGCTCTCCTGGATGATGTCCACCATTGTGGAGCATCAGTGCATCTGCAGTTTAAAACAGATACATTGTTAGCCAAACTTTTGATACTGGCTGATTGCTGGGTTGTATCATGTCACAATATGAGTTTGCATATGTGCGTACAAAAGCGCCACAATGGCGATGTTATTTCAGCTGTGGGATTGGCATGCATGCCTAGAGACTGATCATCATTCCCAAGTCTGATAACCTAGAACAGATTTGTATTAGATTCCTAGCAAAATATGGCAAAACTGTGCAACATGCCATATCTTAAGATGATCACTCTTCCCATGAAGGCCCAGACTATGCTAGGGTAGGCTGTGTTGTCTCTAGCCATTTTTGAGCTATATTTAATGTGTTCATGGATAATATTTATGTCATATAGACTTCATGTATTGTGGTTTTTCACAGATTTGAATGGTGACAGTCACTGGTGTGATCAACAACTATGCAGTGCTGGCTGTGTGCAAAATGGCTCAGAATGGCATGCAAGCCCTCTCCTTAGAATTATGATATTTACTCCAAAACCTCTCTGCATTTAAGAGTTAGAGTTACAGACAGTCCAGATCCAGACCTTTTTGACATGCGATGGAAGCAGACAGCAGTGACCCATAACATCTCAGATGGAAATGTGCTGTAAAATCAAATCTGACCCATGGACAAAGCTGAGTATCTGTAGAGGGACCTTAACCTCCAATCCCCACTCCTACCTCCCACCCCTCCATGTTTGTCATGGTCATAATATTTTGATGTAACTAAAAACTTGTGTAAACCATAGCAACAAAATGTTAATGTGTCCAAGATCAACTCACCACCTGTTCTGGCTTGTCATCACCAGCTTACATTGAACTGGCCTTGACACAGCATGTTGGCAGGTCAGGTATATTACCTGAACAAATTCACCAAGGACAGTCAGTGGGAGGTGCCCACCGAGCCTGCACGCGGCGCCGGCGACGCTGGCGGCGAAGGCCCAGCCAAGGTGCAGGCCTCCCACCTACTGGTCAAGCACCGCGACTCGCGCCGGCCCGCTTCCTGGCGCGAGGACCCCATCACCCGCTCCAAGGAGCAGGCACTGGAAATCCTGCAGGGTCAGTATGCTGGTTGCGCCTGATCTGATCCAGCTGCTCCTCTGCGCCAGCTGTTTCTCT